CCGGATAGTGTTATCGTGAAACTCTTACAAAAATGACACCCAGCTCTGATGATGTCCATCATACGATGGACGAAAACTCATCATGTTTTCACCCGAAACGAGGGAGGAAGTCTCGTGGACTGCGTCAACATGAATATCGTATAAAAGACAAACAGCTGCAGTATAACGAGATCTATCTGACCTCATCTGGTGAGATCAACCAACGAATCTTTTCTTCATTCACTTTCATACGCAATGAACGTCCTCCTAACAATGTTATCTCAAGATATTCATCGAAACTCAGTTTCTCTTCGTATCTACAAAATAGTACATAATTTACTTGAAATGGTAAATTGAATGAGCAAACACGAGGTTTAACCGCGGACTCGTGGTTGCTTTCAAGTTGATAATTGCTTAGGCAAACTTAGAGCAAACAGTGAAACTGTAAGATCAGCATGAACCAGTAGAAAAGGGCTCACAAAGCTGAAGCAGACGGAAAACAGGCGGAGCTCAAGAGAAGACGATTACGTTGAATGTGGTCAACTCGAGAGAGCGAGTGCAACTTTTGGGGGTCAGGCGCACAAGGGAATAGCGAGCAGGATAGCCATGTGCATCGTGGACATTTATCGGTATGTCTATTCTACCGGGACCAGCTCGACTTGAGATGCATTCGAGAGGATGCGGAGAATCGAGGCGTTGGTCGTCAGTTGGCACAGAGTGCGTGGTCTGACTCGTCGAGATGGTTCGTGAAGACAATGCCTGATGATGGGAATAATCGTACAGACGGGCCGATAAGAGAAGAATTGGAGGAAACAGTGAATGTGGTCTACAGCACTGGGACGGGATCGGCATTCCTACGAATGCGGGCCTCGGAGCACTGCTCGTGCCATCAAACGGGACTGAGAAATATCGCCTCCAGTAGAACGGACGTGGTGGCCGGATCCGAGTTGAATCAGTCAACCGGAAAAGTTCTGAAAGATTTCTTCTGGCGACAAGGAAGATCCGGATACGAGTTGGATGAAAGGTCTGAGCTGGATCGGAAGCAGGGATAACGCCTCAGAGAAAGCATTGCAATGGACGCACTTGTGAAGTAGTTCAATCTAGACAAGTAGGACGGTAGGATAAAGAGATAGATAGATAGATATAGAGAGAAAGAGAGAGATAAAGAGTAAGAGAGAGAGAATGAAGCGGGAGGAAAGGATGACAAGAGGCACGACAACACAGCCGTCAAATAGTGTTGGCCAACGGATGGACTTCCGTTGTCTATTTCAACGAGTTCTACTTTGATGTCCCGAATGGCAGGATTTACGAATGAGGTCGACTACGATGCCGGTGGAACATGTACGAATGTTGCACCAAATCCAGGGCTCGAGGCTGCCGGTGATCGAGACTGCTAGAACTGAGGACTTCCGGCAAGTTGTGTCAGTCGAGGTCGCCCTGAAAACGTTGAAAAGAGGAGGTGAAACCACTTCCAGACAGCGATCAAAGTGAAGGCTACGCCATCTTGATCTGCATGTCTACATTCGAGGTGAGCTCGAATAGGAGATTGAGTCACTTTTGGTTGGATCATAGTGACCAAAGCACTGAGAATACAAGTGCCGATGATGAATCCGGCAATGCGTGCCGATGGCACTGAGACGTGGGAGACAATGTGGTCAAGTCGAGTCGAGTCGAGACGAATCGAGACGAGTCAAGTAGAGTTGCTTTTGACTTGTGGCCGTCATCGTCAAAGCCAAAGACGATTATTTACGAACAATCCCCAACACACGCTAAACCAAGAAAGGTGGGAACATGAGATCCTACATACTTCTTATACCTCACTTTGCGATCTTAATGAGGCATTTCATTATTTGGTTGACTGTTTGATGCTTGTCCTACAGGCATGTCAGCGTGACAAAGTGATGCAGGAAGGCGAGCGGATCTGTTCACAACTCTTGTGGATGTAAATAGACTAGAATATAGAAGTGGGTTGACCTCGGTCTTGTTTTCAGGGAGACCATGTAGAACGCACCTAGTCCGAAGTCGTCTGCCATAGTAGTTGTCA